AATACGCATTCCTAAAATTTCAAATCCTTTAAATCATTTCCGTTTGTACAATCATTTATACACTCAACGCAATATTTTAGCCCGTTTTCTATTACCACGGGTTGGTAACATGAGTACTGAAGTGGAAGACTATGTCAGTGTAGTACGTGCTTTTGCGAAACGTGCTAAACAGCCGACTGTGATTGATGGGGAAGTATAATCTCATTGGAAACCAACGAGGAGTGAAATGCCACTTGATAATCATGCTTCTACAGTAAAAATTTAATACTCGAATAACCCGTCGCTGTTCTTGATAGTCCCGACAAAGAAGTGGAAGCACAAAAGCCAAAGGCGGTACGTACTCGGTTGACAAGTAATTGGTGGACTTCCATTATGTCTCACAAAAGACACTACCAATGTCTGAAAGTAAGAAGGAAATCTACCTTGTTGTGTCCAGAGAAAGCCTAATCTTATAAAATATTGTTGTAAGAAATTTGCCAGAATCAAATGATTTCGATCCTGGTCCCAAAAGTAGACAAGGGCATGGTTTGGAAAAGCTAGGAGAATATATTCGTAGTATTTTACCGGATAACTCTAAAGGAGTTCAGGTCAAAAAATTGGTTAGAATAGGCAAGAGGACTGAGGACAATGTTGGACCCCGACCACCCAGACTCCTTAAGGTAATCCTAGGATCGGAGAAGCAACGTGATCTTCTGTTAAGTGGCGCTCGTAGTCACGACAATACCGACATCCGAGTAAGACCTGATATGTCTCTTGAAGATAGAATAAAAAGGAAGACGGCACTATCTGAACTAGAAACCCGTCTACAAAACGGTGGGGAAAATCTGCGATTATTGGGTTTTCGGTTAGTCAATTCTTGGAAGAGGACGCTACCAAAGCGTGTGTGGATAGGCCGTTCTCCTTAGGAGTTTTATGTGCCGAACTATCCGCGAACTACTACAAGGATGGGTGTGAAGTATCCTCATGATTTTATGGCATATTATTCACCTTCCAATCTTACACGGAACCTTGATTGGTAGTTTAGAAACGTGAATCTTGAACGTCACATATTAGTTAAGGTTCTCACGGTTTTTGATTCACTGTCAGACCTACTGATTTACGCTTATGACCAAATGTGCAATGAAACATCACAAACAAGTATTTAAATCTCATGTCCTTCAGCACTTTACTTTTTGTGTGAGTGAAATGAGTATAGGTAGTTTGAGAAGTAATATAATTATTTTCCATACTTTTTGGAATTCCTTTGGCGCACCATCAAATTCAATCCAGCTTGCTAAACGCCTTTTCAGTATTATACGTTGAAACGCCTCGCTTACGTCAACTGAAATGTCTCTTGAACATGAAGCACTTATTAATTATTAGAACAGTTATTCCTTGCAATAACTCTTTACTAACTGAAGGAAGTACTACAAATATTTAAGTCTTACCGGTTACTGGATATTTCATCCTTACTTCTGAGTTTAACAGCGATTCACACAAACTTTGCGTATCTATACCTCCTGAGTTTATCTTATCTTTTTAACGTTGTTTTCTAGACCTTACCTTGAAATTAAATAAAGGCGTTGAGGTTCACTACAGCAATTGGGATCACAGACCAAGTTACGAAACAACAATATTGTTGCTGTATATATAACCAACTTGTGCACTACAAAATAGACGATGCTAAATTATTGCTTTTGGCAGCCATTTTGTGTTTTTAATACAGCAAAAGACGACTTAAATATGAGAAAAAGTTATATTCATGCAACAGAAACAACCCACGACAACAGAAATACGGAATGACCGCCTCCAGTCAGGTCGTTCAAGGTCGTTGAGACGAGGCGACGGCTTTGAAAAAATCCAACGTGCACTTTCCGGGTCATCCATGTTTTTTCCTGTTTTTTTCCAGCTCTCTCCACTCAAACTACTCAAACTACTTCACTTGCACATAGGGTATCTTCCAGCCAGACGCAAACTGTTGCATATGCATCAATCATTATCCTTTAACCTGCATTTAAGTTTTTCCCACCGTTCCTTTGCCTGTAATGTAGAGTTTTGTAGGACTGGTATAGCCTAGCTGTTTAGTTTGCTCAAGTTTTAGGAAAACTTTACTCAGATAGGTGGTTTTCATGCGCCAATGCATCCTTATAAGAATTTACAGCTAATGTGGTTGAGACTTCGTATATAAATACAAACATAAGCTTAATGTTGTAGCAATAACGGTTCAGGAAGTATGATAGTCTGGCACGTAGTTGTCTTCCTTTTGACTATTTAGCAGGACGAGCGTGTTGGTAACTGTAATTTGACTTCGGATTTTCTCTGAACAGAGTAACAAATCCCTTAACTACCACCTGCGCCTACAAAATGTCGTAAATATCTTTTATGAGAGAAGAGAAAAATAGATGGTATATATGGCATATGGTATCTAATGGTTTTTTATAAACTGCTAGACAATTTCAGATTTATAATCATATCACCCCGGGTCGTTTTATGATAAGATAGTTGGCTTCAACCGGTTAAAATAAAGAATTTTTGAGATCAATTATTACGTTTCGTCACAATTTCGAGCAATAACTATCTGCTTGGGTATCACTGAGATTTTGGTGAACAAGTGCTGCATACTGATATCCTGTTGACCGTCTGCTGCAACTGTGCCCAGACAATCGTTTATTTTTAACAAGCATTAGTTTTAAACACAAGGAGGGACATCGTCTAAAATGGCGGTCGCCTGCACCAAACCAACAATGGACTCAACTAGACCATATTGCCATTAGTCATCGTTGTTGAGGTTCGAAAGAAGACTACTGCTCGTTCTGGAATACATGCTTGGACTCCGATCATGTTCTAATACAAGCACGTATTTGCTTGTGCTTCACTGGACACGGTAAAGCCACATTAAGAAGACTCATTCTAGTTAAACTCAGTGACGAGGAAGTCAAAAGTAGATTCCAGGAACAACTTAGGCAATTCCGAAAACGAGGCCGACCCGGATGTTGCTTAGCAAGATATACAAACAGCAGTGACATCTACTAGTGATTTGAAACAAAGGACCACGAATAACCAGTGCATTTGTGCTACATCTTTTGCACTGCTAGACTCTCGTAAACTTATCCCATCAGGCTCCGAACACGATGATGAGCGAAAACAAATCAAATCTAGGTTAGCCCAAAGTCTATGGAACGATCGTGAGCAGTGGTGGGCAACGAAAGCAAAACAGATGGAAATGGCAGAGACTGTAGGTAACACCAGGCAGCTTTCCAGACTAATAAAAGAAACCAAAATTGAGAAGTCAAGTGTAAGACAATCTCTAAAAAAGACAACATCCTATTCTGCTCGCAGTACAGAGGTTTAGAACGATGGAGGAAACGCTTTAAGGAGAAGTTGGGCTTGCCTCCAACTATTTCACAGCTACCTACCATTTTTAAACATCCTGAACGGAACATTGAAATAGGCCCTTGACTCTAATTGAAGTTCAAAAAGCTGTAGCTAGTCTGAAACGAGGAAGAGCAGATGGATTGGCTCAAGAGGTCTTTAAGTAAAGTGGTCCAATTTTAGCGATTAGGTTGATTAATATTTTAGCTAAAATCTGGGAGTTGGATATAATCCCATCTGACTGGTCGCAATCACTGATTGTCCCTATATATAAGGAGTTAAAATCATCCTGTGATAACCATGGAGGGACTAGTTCAACTAATATAGCATGTAAAATACCAGCCTCAATTGTTGTCGGACGCCTAACTAAGACTCGTGAACTGCAAACACGAGGAAATCAGGCTGAACTCAGACCTGGTCGTGGCTGCATCGACCACATATTCACCATTCGCCAGATCTTAGAGCACAGACATGCTTATCGGCGTCCGACAATGAAAGTTTATCTTGACTTAAAAGCAGCATTTGACTCTGTAGACCGAGAGGTTCTGTGTCAGTGTCTGTCATTGAAAAGCGTTCCTCAGAAGTACATAAACCTTGTGAATGCTGTGGTTTTATGTTGCAGCTGATTGGGTCCTCCACTTGTCCTTCAAAGTATTAGCCCCTAGGTCATTTTGTCTGCGAAAATCACTCATATATTCGATACATACTTAAAGAGTTTTTGGATGACTTTACTTTTCTGTTTAAGCTAACTTATTTAATATGATCCTTGTCGCAACATTGTGGTACTTAATACGGTACTTAATACCTTGTTTAAGAGTATCTGTGTCAGATATGGCATTTGATCAGGATGGCCCACTTTACCATTGGTCACTAATTAATTCTGGCTGGCATTTGTACACTACCGGACTCACTAAATTGATCTCAACATTTGTTATCATTTTTTATCCATAGTGCTTTACTCAGTGTCATTAATTTTGCGAAAATTTCAAAGACAGTTATTTACACCAACTTATTAAATCTATTCAGTATGGTATTCACCAGATTACTACTTTTACCGTACTCACCATCGAAACTTCCATCTGACGCTGTCATAGGTATCCTTCTGCAGATAATGCTTCTTGTGACCGGTTTTTCAAGGATTGATTTGTCACTGGATCCACTTTATTTAACTTCAGTCTCATCGACCCTAGTATTTGCTGTATGGCGAAGATTCGATATAAGTTCACAAGACTGTCTTGAATTTTTGGGTTACGTGTGGCGTAGGTTGTCCATCTGGCATCCAAGCAGCGAGTATATTGTGTAGAAGTTGCTTATCTCCTTTTTAGGTATGTATGGACTGCGATATTCTAGTATTTATCTAGACAGTTTCATCTCACTGATCTGAAGCCGATGGACATATGTACCGGTTTCTACGTTGCCTATAACTGACCAGCTCTTAAAGGAAGAGGAGTTGCTGTTAGTGTATTTTCCTAACGAATGAGTCTGTAATTCGCAGCACTAGATATACACCAGAGACATCGTGTTGCTTTGCTTCAGTCACAATGTGTTTTGCTCTTGAGACTTTCATAAACTTTAATCTGGTTCCTTAGTAGCTTTTTGTAAGTATGATTATCAGCTTATAATTCAATCTTTTTTCATTTCAAAGAAATATGCAGCCCCCTCTTGTCATGAGAATACTTGCTGCCTCTGTATCTCTAGCCGATAAGGCCTGTTTTTCGATTCGTGCGGTATATGATTCCAAAGACTTGGCCATTATCGACAAAGGAGTTGATGATTTGCAATCCAGAGCTGATCGAGATTCTCAGCGGTGCATAGTACAATCCTTGAACGAGACCTTCCCGGGTCTTCATGTTATTGGTATCTTTAATGTTTACTCTAATAACTCGAAAAATAGGCGAAGAAGGTGATCTGGATCCTGAAAATCTATCTACGTCCACTGAGTTAAACTCAACTGTTCTTGAACACCACTGTCCTCCAGAACTAAAAGATTTGTCACTGGAGGATATTGTAGTTTGGGTGGATCCACTGGATGGTACAAAGGAATTTACTGAAGTATGTTTATCTATTTGATTTTTATTCATGATATCAAGTAAAATACAACCACATACTAACAGTAGATGTCCATTCATGGTTTTAAACTCTTAAGTAAAATTAATTTTCCCTGTATACGTGCTTCTTCTAAATACAGGGCCTTGTTGAGTTTGTTACAGTTCTTATCGGAATTTCGATTGCTGGAAAGCCTGTGGGTGGTGTTATCGCTCAACCCTTTTACAAAGCCAATACAACTGAGCCGCACTACACGACTCGAATCGTTTGGGGACTTGTAGGTCTGGGTGTGTTTGGCATAAATCCTCTGGTACCTTCTTCAAAATTGCCATATCCAGTCAACCAAAATGCCCAAAAGCTTACTTCACCTCATATTATTGTGGTTACTCGATCCCATCGCTCTACTACTCAGGATTTTGTCGACGGAGCATTCTATCCCACTGAAGTAAGCATTATTGTATTGTTACAATACATTTTTTGAATTTCTTGCGTAGGTATGTTCAACACTTTTACATATCACATAGTTCTCAAATATTTGATATTGAGCTGTAATTGTGGGTGTAAAATGTTTTGTATCGCTCTTAAAATCAAATAATCTATTAAACTCTACCCTGGGAGTTGAAAGGTCTTCATTTTGAAGAGTTATGAAGCCTCATATTGGGAGCCGAAATTCTTTGCCATTCACGAGGCTGATACTCTTCTAACAACCAGAGAAACAGTTTTTATAGGTACATGGAACGTTCTGACAATGTGGAAGACTGGGAAGACCAGACAAATAGAAACAGAAACGAGGAGATACAACTTTAACGGTGCTTGGAATCATTGGAACCCATTGATTCCAAGCTGGACAGGAAAGGTTATATTCGGGAGAGATGCTGCTGTACTCTGATCACGGAGAGGAAAATGCTCCTCACACTCAAGAAGTTGCTTTGACGCTGTCCAAAGAAGCACCTAACGCACTTGTAGGACGGGAATCTCATGGATCCTGGATCATCAAAGCGTCATTCAAAACAAAGGAGGGAATCACAATGAATGTTATCCAGTGTTATGCACCCACCAATTATAGCAGTGACAACGATAAAGATCAGTTCTACGGGAGGCTGCAATCGATCATAGCGAAATGTCCAGGAAAGAACCTCACCATCCTAACGGGAAACTTAAACGCCAAATTCGGAATGGATAACAACGTTTATGAGGATATCATGGGATGACACGAACTGACTGAGAGATAGGAATGAGAATGGCGAGGGACTTGGAAATTTATGTGTATTCAACAAAATGGTTTTAGGTTGCACAATATTTCCCCACAAACACATACAAAAAGCTACATGGGTCTCACCGGACCACACCACGGAGAATCAGATAGATCACATTTGTATCAATAAAAAATTCCGAAGGACAATTGAGGATGTAAGAACCAAGAGAGGAGCTGACATAGCTTCAGATCACCACCTGGTGGTGGCCAAGATGAAACTGAAGCTAAAAAAACACTGAACAGCTGGGGAAACAGCATTAAAAAAGTTTAATGCATCGTCCCTTCGAGATACTAACAAACTCAATCAATTCAAGATAACTCTCAACAACAGGTTTCAAGCCTTACAGGATCTACTAAGGGAAGAAGAAACTACTATGGAGGAAAACTGGAAAGGTATCAAATAATCACTAAATTCAACATGTCAGGAGATTCTGGGCCGCAAGAAGCATCAACATAATGAATAGATCGCCATCGAAACCCCAGATAAGATTCAGGAAAGGAAGAACGAGAGTACAGCAATTAACAACAGCCGAACAAGAACAGAGAGAATCAATGCACAAGCTGAATACACAGAAGCAAATAGGAAAGTGAAAAAAGCATTAGAACTGACAAGCAAAAATATGTGGAAGACCTAGTAACAACAGCGGAAAAAGCTGTAAGTGAAGGAAATATGAGACAACTATATGATACAATGAGGAAACTAGCAGGGAAATATAGTAAACCAGAGAGACCGGTCATGGACAATGAAAGTAAGCCAATCACTTAGATTCAGGGACAGAGGAACAGATAGGTGGAACACTTTGAGGAACTCTTGGATAGGCCAGTTGTCTACTCAAGGTACACAATGCAAGTTGGCAGGATAGCGTCAGCAGCAGTTTACTGTGGGAGAGAACAAACCAGCTTCCATCTGGAGAGGAAATTATGAAAAGACGCTGGAAGTATGTATGACATACATTGCAGAAACCATTAAACTGCGTCAATAGGCAAGCTCCAACTTAGAATTCTTAAGGGACACATAAAAGATGAAGACAAAAAATACGTTATTTCGGGAATTAGAAGCAGACATCAAAAGGATGAATAGCAACTGGAAAGGACAGAGTTGGATGGAGAATGTTGGTGCGCGACCTATGCTTCTCCACGAGGGTTAGCAGGCGTAGCTAAGTAAGTAATCGTTGTTCTAGTTTTTACGTAATTTTCTTATGTGTGGTGTGTACTATTATTATACATGAGCTACTTTACGAGCTCGTGTTTACAACCACTTGGTCACCACTAGTGATGAATGCATACATGAATACATGCGTTCCCAAGTACTTTAAGCACGATATTTATGCATTCCACCAATTTCCAATTTACATATGTCGCTTATTTACAGAAGCAAAATTGATTTTGTGAGAAAACCCTTTTGTTGCTTGTTTTGTTAACATTAGTAGTAATCTGTGAATCAAATGCGAATATTAAACTTACAATATGTGTTAAGTTTTCCGTTTGAGACATGTCTATAGTCAAATTATTATTAATTCCGTAAAATATACCGAAACCATTGTGACTAGAAAAGTTCAACTGTATCGGTGTCGGGAAATAATTCTAGATTTACTACGTCATCCCATTGTAGTTTCAAGAGTACATCTTCGTAAAACATATTAAAGGATCTACATTTGCAAATCAGAGCAAAACATGCTAGCAAGTAGTATTAGTTTGAAAACCTTGTAGTTTATTTCTGTTTTTTCCAATCGCGTTTTATGCTTAATAGTCTTGATAAACCTCCCATTTTCGTCGGGCTAAAATGTTTGATATGCTAAAAACCATTCGGTTCTGTACTTCCGAGTTTATATAGTTTAACTGAAAATCGTAAACGTAGTAATTTACTATGACTAATATTATCTATATGTCGTTAACCTACACAGGAACTAGCGAAATAGCTAGCTAAATTTCTGAACCTAATCCGCAATATTTATGTATTTTTATTTATTTATTTTAACATTGGTACAACATTGGTACATTGGTATAAAGGGGCACCAAATACATATGTGCCACACAAGTCACTTGATTTGTGTGTGGGCTATGATACTGCTCGGGTGTCCAAACCGAAGCAGGTGGTTTTCTTAGGGGGCCACACCCGGAGCCATCGACCTGAAGGTCTGATCCACAAGGCAGTGGAGCAACGTTAGGAGTGCACTCCCATGGTAGCCGATGACCAATAATAGGTTAATACGCCTTTTGTCCCCTCAGGATACTGGAGCCCATATGCACCACTGGTTTGGAATTAGGGTTTTCCAACTCCCGTAGGTGGACTCTCCGTGTCCACCAACCCGGTTAAAGCGCTAAACACTCGCTTTTCACCCTCTCAATTTCGTAAACACTCCCGTCATGAGAATTCAGTGAGTAGGAGCTCCGTAGGAGTGGCTGTATACATGTGACCATGTGAGAGAGTATTTTTGGGGAGGTGATTCTCTCCGCCCTCTGCCGTACCGTGGCATTCGGGGGCAATGAGCAATAAATTGTGTAAGTTTTCCTTAAAAGATACATTTAAACTAACTGACCTTCTTGATCGTTTTGTTATTAAAGAAAAGACCATGCATTCTTTTGATGTATACCTTGTTTTTACGAATGTTCCCCTTTTCCCTATTCGGTCAACACTGTTGAAAAATTTACTTTTGTTGTGTACTCTGAAACTTCATGTTTAAAGGTGAACATCTTCGACAAGTTGATGGTGCTGCTATGGGTAGTCTTTTGGAACCTTTCTTAGCTAGTGTATTTGTCATATGAGGAAGAAAGTAATAACAGATAATCCTTCTTAGACGTACTTTCGAGTCGATGGAGGTTGGGATTATAATGCGGTCAGTATATAGAAAACCAACATGGAGTGATCAATATTTAAAATTCCAGTTTTTATCCGTTGTAACACGAGCGAAGCTTCGTAAGTGCCTCTCTAACAGCACTCAAAACATATGTGCTGCAGATATGTTTGAAGAAGATGCGGAATTGCTGACTAACACAGTGATATCAAACGGTTATCCACTGGAGTTTATAAATAAATGCAATAGTCAGTCAGCACCAAATCTCTTTAATTGCTAAGGAAAGTGTTAACATACCTCTACTATTTGGAAGTGAATCTAACAGTATGATTTTAGGACGGAAACTAAAATCAGCCATCGAAGACATATTACGCTACTAAACTGATCATGATCGGAGGTACTAATCCCATGATTCCAAATAAACCTAGACATTGCACGAGTAATGCGATGATTTCCCCTTCTTTCCATACTATGTTGATTTTCTCTTTAAAGTATTACTTTGTTTACTTGAACCGTCATTTATTTGACCCTTATTAATTTTCACTTAAGATGCCTTGACAAGTATATGTGACTAGATTGTTCGAGGTGTAACTGCCCAAATACGAAACATTTTTCAGACCAACTTAGTCTTCTCATTTTTCTATCAAAATGTCGACTTCTTGGTCTTTCTTTATTGTGTATAAAATCTTATGCCATTCAGTAAATATGCTGTAAGTAGGATCTGTCCATAAGTTTTCACTTTATGTAGCTCAAAACCTTGTTTTGGACTCTCTGTATCTTGAAACTTTTTTAATGATGCAAGTTCGGTTCTAATTTCATGTATTTTTAGTAATGAAACTGGTTATTTTGGATGTGAGAGTTTATGCACAAGTTTTATCCTTAAAATCCGAAATATACTCGTGCAGTATTTGTTATGCTATCTCGTGTTTTAATCCCATATCTTATTTTTTCTTTTCATAGGTTCTTCGTGTAGGAGGGTGTGGTTATAAAGTTCTAGTGCTTCTGGAAGGACGTGCTCATGTTTATGTATTTCCTAGCCAAGGTACTAAAAAGTGGGATACATGTGCTCCAGAAGCTGTGCTTCTGGCATCTGGTGGGATACTAACAGATTTAACTGGACAGTCTTACAAATACGATCTGAATGCTAAGCATGATAATCTTCGAGGCATACTTGCTACTCCTGTTGCCGATTGGTTGCCATCGTATGTTTCTTGTTTGCCAAAAGAAGTGCTTGACGATTTCTCAGCTCGTGATTAGGTAATACTAAATCTTATTTTTTGTTTATTATTATTATTGACTTTGTTCAATATTAGATGTGTAGTACACTATAGAATTTTCAGCACAAAGTGTTGGTCATTACATACATTTCCTATGTGTTTATGTGAGTAAGCCTTTCTCTTCGCTATTCCGTAGTCGTATTTCTTTTGCTTGATAACAATGTTTATATGACATTCTATATCATCGATAGACTAATTCGTATGTGTTCAAGTGTGTGATTATTTTTTTCTTTTGATTCTTTCTACCAATGTTATAAGTGTTTTAAAAATAGTAATTATTTGAACGAGTATTTAATGTGTTCAGGTGCCCACTTCTTTTCGGCTGTATAAATTGTTTTTGTTGGCTGAAAATCATTTATTATTGTAATTTAACTAATTTTATTTTGTGAAGTCCTAATGGTTTCGATTGAATGTTGTGATCCATAATTTTCGTTTCTGAATCTTTCTTAATTAAAAAAAGTCTCAGTCAGTTCAATCGTATTAAAGCATATATTTATTATGTAAGAAATAAATAAAGCTAAATTATTATTAATGTTGTCTTAACTAGTAAAAAGACAATTCTATGATACTGGTTGGTAATAGTTGATATAAAAGTGGAATTATCATTAGTCAAGTGGACACGGAAGTTATGGAGAACAGGTCTTCAATTATCTCGACAAGAATAAATTAGTATGCTGGTTGGATGTAAATGGAAAGATTAAGTATGTGATCCAAATAAAATGTTCATTGACTGACTTGCACGGAAGCGTTGTAAAATTTAAAAACTGCCTACCATTCTTATTTACAGATTATAAACAACATTATTAGTATGATAGTTGACAGTTTTATTTTAGAAAAATATAGGTTTATCATAATTAATCTATCTTAAAACAAATAAACTCAGAAAACGAAACGTGAAAACTATCGTGTATGTAACTTTCTCAACTAATTATGTTAACACCTCTCTTTGCTAAGTCATTCATACTAGTATCCATTACAGTTGATGTGAAGAATACGAATTATTCACTTTTCTCCATCACATAGACTCCCTAATTCTGATAGATATAGGAATCATGAACCACAAAGTGACAGTATGCTATCCTTTCAAATTTCCTGACTGTGTTCTTTTGTTTTTCTAACGAAGTAGGGGCTACAAGCAAAACACACAACAGATTTCGGTTAGCGAGACGTCAAACTGATACTGGTTCTGATATTAATTTGATTATTCGTGGAATATGGCTGATACTAAGGTCCCCTACTGTTTGCGAATTACCATAAATTTGGGGATTATGCTGATAACAAGATTATTTAGTGAAATTCAGTGTAATGTCTCATTTAGATCCGAAACATAATGGGGCTTGTGTCACTTTACTGTCATGGTTCATTCACAAGTCACAGCTAAGTAATTGATAACTGTCCCAAAAGCGCCCCAGCTATGTAATGATTAGTATTAAATATTCTGGTACATTATGGTCTTGATTTGTCCGAGAGTGGAGTGGGTTCGCCCTCCCTCTCGAAATGCTCTCACATGGCCACGCGTATACAGCCTCTGCCAGGGAAGTCCTACTCACTGCCTTCTCGTGGCGGGGGTGTTGTTTACGAAAACGTGAGGACGAAAAGCGAATGTCCGGCGCTTTAACCGGATCCCAAACCAATGGCGCACATGGGCTCCAGTATCCTGCGGGAACAAGTGGCGTATGAACCAATCGTTGGTCACCGGATACCATGGGAATACATCTCCTCACGATGCGACACTGCCTTGTGGATCAGACCTTCAGGTCGAAGGATCCGGGTGTGGCCCCCTAATACAACCACCTGCTTCGGTCTGGGCACCCGGGCAGTATCACAGCCTACACACACACACACAAATATGGTGTGGCGCATATATATTTGGTGCCCTCTTGTACCAATATTTATGTGTTGAAATAAAATCCCCTCCCATCCATTCGGTCCTAAAATGCGCTTGGATTCCACAAAATAAGCTGAAGTAAAGCTTTTGGGGAATACTGGTCGAGAAAACAACTTTGAGTCCTTGGCGCAAGTAGCGAACCAGGATTTCCAATGTCGAAGGTATAGTGGTTCATTTCCATGAGTAAACAAAGTTGCGGCTGTCCAGAACGCTTTGATGTTTGATTAGTGTGCTATATCCAGGACTTCGGGCCATTCTTCTGATCATGTGATTGGAGAGTACTGAAATGCTACTTTTGCAACAGATGCTTCTAGTTATTTGAGATATACTTATCATCGTACCAAATCCAAATATCACTGGCAGAAGACCCTTTGTTATCATGATTATCATGAACAAATATGAATACAAAAGTGAGATGTTATCCATCCTCAGTGATGAAAGTAAATTTATGCCTGAAGCCGAATTCGGAGGTATTAGCAAACTAGAGGGAAGAATAAATTCGAACCTAGTAAAACTGCTACACATGAATATTATTGGTAGAGAGGAATTTAATTTCCTAAAACCTATTGGTTCTGAGTATCGTCATCTACATTGATTACCTAAGATTCACAATCAGTCAGTCAGTATCAACGTAGAACTTCGTACGTACGTACATCAGTTCGAGTTGCCACACCACATTAGCACAGAGATGCAGTGGTCGATTCAAATCCCGTAGTGGTAGAAGTAAAAAGAGTATAAGCAGTAATCGGGAAAACTATTGTTTGGATACGTTATTTAAAGAGTATAATCCAGTGAAATTAATTTAGGAAGAGAAAAAAAAGAGACAACGAGGAATATGGAGATCAAAATTTGGGAGAACACAAAGAGTGGATGCACCTGCACCATTGCAAACGATTTTGAGCCATGTCATTCAAGGTCTCTGACCATCGGTTGCTATCATCTCGCGGTCCCCAATCAGGTAGTCTACACCTACCAACATGACTCAGTCCACTTGTCAGTGACTTCATGGACTTGTGCCATGTTTTGGTCTGGCCGCCCCTAGCTTTCTTCCAACCTACTCCTATACCACTGAACATCGCACGTCGAGGCAGTCGGTCGTTGGGCATACGTAACACGTGTCCCAGCCATCTCAACTGATGAAGTTTTACTACGTCATCATTTGCTTTGCCATCCTTACCTAGTACCCGTTTCCTAACAACTGCATTACTTACTCGATGGTCCCACGATATACGAGCAATATTTCGAAGACACCTATGATCAAATACTAGTAACCTACGGATATCCTATACTCTTACCGGCCACGTTTCACTGCCATAAAGTAGGACGGAACGAACTTCTGTGCAGTAAACCTGTCCTTTGGCTGATAGACGGATATCTCACCTACTCCATAAATGACGCAAGTTGGCAAAAGTTAGTCGAGCCTTCTGTATCCGTGCTGAGATTCCGTCACACACCAGACCACAAAGGCTGATCAGACTCCCAAGATAAGTGAAGCGATCGACACGCTCAATTACTTCACTTCCTATCATTAGTTCGGGTGTCAATGCAACCCAATCCTGAAGTAACATTTTGCATTTCGAGGGGGAGAATCGCATCCCGAACATGCCTGCATTGTTGCTTAGAGTGGCCATAAAACTGCATTTTGTCAGCGTCTTCACCAAATAAAACTATATCATCAGCATATTCTAAGTCAACAAGTGAACCTCCCGGTAGAAGTTCAACCCCTGGAAATCTAGACGAGGAGAGTGTTATCTCTAAAATTACGTCGACGACAAAGTTGAACAAGAATAGAGATAGTGGACATCTCTGACGAACACCACTTAAGGTAATCAATTTTGATGACAGTTCGCCATAAGCTCTCACTCGACCAGTTGTGTTCGAGTAGAGAGGCTTTATAAGGTTAATGTACTTCTTTGGTACTCCTTTCAGTGACAAACACTGCCATAGAACCTCACGATCAATAGAGTCGAATGCCGCCTTAAGGTCGAGAAATACTACCATTGTGGGGCGTCTGAATATGTGTCTGTGTTCTAGAACCTGACGTAGTGTGAATATCTGATCTATACAACCACGTCCAGGTCGAAAACCGGCCTGGTTTTCTCTAATCTGCTTTTCACGAGCTTTAGTTAGGCGTCGAAGTATTATTGAAGCTAATATTCTAGACACTATATTTTTCAAATTGATTCCTCTGTGATTGTCACAAGAGGACTTTTGTCCTTTCTTAAAAACTGGCACAATCAGTGATTGAGACCAGTCAGATGGGATTACGTCCAGTTCCCAAATTCTACCTAAGACCTCAGTTAATCTCACTGCTAATACTGAACCACCATCCTTGAAAATCTCAGGAGTAAACCTGTCAGGTCCTGCTGCTCTCCCTCGCTTCAGATTTCCTATGGCTTTTTCAACTTCGTAAAGAGTCGGAGGATCTGCATTAACTTGCCATTCAGGTTGACTGGAGATCGTGGGAAACCCAAGTGTGGCTGAAGGCCAGTTGAAATGATCCCTAAAGTGTTCTGCCCATCGATCCAATCTCCTGGATTGAGAATGTATAATATGTCCATCTTTCTCTGAGAGTGTTTCGCTAACAGTCGGTTTCCTAATACCGGTTTCCTTAACAAGTCTGAACAATTGTCTGCTATTACCTATTGCCGCTGCCTTTTCCATCTCTCTTGCTTTCCCTACCCACTACTGTTCACGATCATTGCGTAGACTTTTTGTCAGCTTTCGCTTAAGCTGACTCCGCTCTTCATTATGTTCAGAGCCAGGTGGGATGTGTTTCCGAGCATCTATCAGTGCGATAGATGCTGCTGAGATCCAGTGTTGCTCCCTAACCTTACGGTTTACCGTACTAGCAGCTATCACTACTGTTCCCACAGCTTTTCGGATATCATTCCATGCTGCCTCGAGGTGGACATCACATACATGGCTGCCTAACTGTTCCTAGTTGTTCATGAAATATACTCTTAGCTTGACTATCATTAAGTAGGGTCCTAAGAGGTTTACTTACAGCGTCTTTCCTACGTCCAGTAAGACGCAGACAGATACGCGCTCGTACTAGAGCATGATCTGAATCTAAGCATGTGCTCCAGAATGAGCGACAGTCTTCTATCGAGCCCCTCCATCGGTGGGTGATAGCGATGTGATCTATTTGGGTCCAACGTTGAGACGAATTAGGGGGTCGTCATGTTAAAAGATGTCTTTCCTTATGCTTAAAGTTAGTATTTGCAAGGAACAGGCGGTTATCTGAGCATAGCTGCAACAGACGGTCGCCATTATCCGTTCTTTGAGCCACGATGCTATAAGATCCATCCAGGTGTCTTTCCCTATCGCTTAGTTTACCCACTTGAGCATTAAAGTCACCGGCCATTATTACTACATCCGAGCGCCTAGCTTTTCGGAGAAGGTCGGAGAGCTTTTTGTAAAACTCATCTTTTACATCATCTTAGGTGCAGTCAGTGGGAGAATAGGTAGAGACGACGAAGAGCGTCCCTATCTTTTCGGATCCTTACTGTTCCGTTTAGTCGGACAGCGCACAAACGACTGTCTACTGGGATCCACTCTAAGAGAGCTAGTTCTGCCCTAGGACTCAATGCTATACCTACGCCGGCGAGGCCACGGGAAGCAGAATCAGGGCTTCCAGAT